AATAGCTCTTTCATTTTAAGCTAATTCTGCAAATTATGGCTAAAAAGTCAACGCGGAGGATGATGCCTATCACAAATATCAAATTATGACACAATCACCATAGTCGCAAGCTACATGGAGTTTACAAAGGTATGCATTTGAGAAATGCGACCATGAAGCAATAGCTCATAAAACAGGGGTAAACAAGAAACATAAGAAAATAGATATTCAGATGCCTAACAAACATCGCAAAGAATGATCGTAAACAAAGCAAATCCTGTGTTAGCAAAGTACAAAGTTCAATACGTCATTGCAGGGTCGTAGCATCTTTCCTGCTGCTCATCCTCTGAGCATAGATAAAAAACAACAGCCTCGTGTGTCCTATGTGGATGAAGGTTGGTGTAGCTAATGGTGTCTAGATGGCTTTCTATTGCTTTTAATCTCGATATGGTATAGTATTGATAAATTAGATGCACGTGCAACACATGGATAGATTTATTGAGGAAACGTTTCGCCACACAGTGGCTTCATCAATCCAATAAGAAAGGAGATCAGAAGGTAATCAGTCCATTAGTCTTGAAAAAATACAGCATATGCTGTATTATTTTCAAGTTTGATGGACTGATTACATCGACTCCAGGCTGAGGGACTGATTACCTCTAACTCCTGATCTTCACCATTCTCCTTTGTACTGGACTGATGAAGCCAGTGTGGCGAAATATTGCCACAATAAAGATACCCAAGTGTTGAACATGTGTCTAATTTACCAACTTGTCGGTTCTCTGAACCATTTATCTACATGATATGGTATTATTTTGTCATTGCATTATCTTTCCTTGATGCTGGCGAGCGGCTCTTAAATCCAAGAAACTAGATTTACTGTATGATCTCTTTCCTTGGATCGGATCTGAATGCCTCCTATTCCACAGGCGCTAGTAGCCCTTACTGGTTTAGCGCTTTCCCCCGATTAAAATAAATTTTTAATTGCTGATTCATCTAGTGAAATGGATGAAACGCGAAACGGGGAGGGGCAGTGGGGCGGTGTTAGGCTGTGTAGGTGCAAGTATTGTTAGGTTCAGCGAAATAACTGAAGGACGCCTCTACTGAAGAATGCCTCTACTGGTCAGCTGTAAACTCTTAGTGCTGATGTGTTGTCCCTAGAAAGGAGCTCTGCTTTGATTTTAGGTTGTGTAAATTTTACTGTGCCTATTTTATTAATCAAATTCTTCTTCAGCTTGGCTTCAAACCTGGTGTTACTTGGTGAAAAGTTTAAATTAGTCTACAGCTGTGTATGTCTTAATTTGCCCCTTTTATGGAAGAAACTGGGATATTAGTGTCCATATGATAACTTGTTAATGCCTTTTCTGATTCACTTCAGATCTTCAATGCTAATATTTAAATGCATTAGAACTTTATATCGCACTTCTTTCTAAGATGTGATAACAGGCAGATGGAAACATAACACAAACTCGACTGGTGGATGCATCGACGTTTTATTGGTACAGAAAACTGCTGCTGTGATTTGATGGCCGCGCATGAAACACCTGGAGTTCCTAGCCTAGCCACATGTTTCACTTTCAAATTGTTTACGTAACAAATTTGATTGGAACCAGCTCTAAATGCCACTCTCACTTTTAATAAGCTCTCATGTTCTCTCTCACTTCGGCTGAACTCTCACCTTCATCTGTCGTATAGTGGGAACAGTGGCGTCTCTCTCACCTTGTTAACATTGAGGTAATTTACACCACAAATGATGTAACTGAAGTATTCCCAGTGAAAAGTGAAATTAATAATCTGGCCATTGTTCTTGTGTACAAGCCTCGTCATGCATATTCACAGAACTTTTACTGCTCCGTTGGTGTAAATCGAACACTGCCTCGAACACCTCACAAATCCGGCGATGAACATCTTGAAAGAACGCAGTTACTGAAAATAGATTTTCAGTAACTGCGTTCTCACGAACTCTTACACACAACTGAAGAACGGCAAAGGTGCCATAAAGACTTCACCTGCAAACGTGGTCAGGAAGATTGCTCTTGTAATTCCCTCTTGATTGGTATAAAATAAGGAAAATACGAGAGGGAGTGAGAAGACCAGACGTGGAATAGTTCATTAGCACAGTGGCGCCTTGATGTGTGCCCCAGACTTGTACCATTAAGAAAAAAAAAACAGAGAAGGTACAGGTTAGGAAAGATGATCTTCTAGACGTAAAGATGAAGATTCATAGAACTTTCTCAAGGACGAAAAGAAATACTGGTTAGAGGACTAGAAAATACTGAGCAAAAATGTCAAGAACGAAATTCAAAGAAATCCAAAATACAAAAATAAAATTCTAATGTGCAAAATCTAAGACAAAAAGAATAGATTATCTAGTATTGAGTCCTCGCTTAATTAAAGGAGACGGATCTTTCACTAATGGCAACACATAAATGAAGGAAATAACGAAGTCAGGCTAACTTCAGGGAATTATCAGACTAAAGAATGATAACTAACCCTTTCATGAACGAGTCTAAATTCTGCCAACATTCGCAAAACTTCTGGCACAACCCTAACCCTTCATGACTTTGAAGAAAATCTTTTACAGTATGCCCGTTCACTCTGCTCCAGGACCAGACTCGTGGAGCTCACTCACTCTTCATAAAAAGAGGACGGTCTAAAGGCATGCAGTCTGAGATGCGGGGAGAGGGAACCAAGGACATAAACGACAGATGAACATGAGACATGGGAACGTTAGGAAGTTCTTTTTTCAGACTTAAGATGGTATGTGTATTGCAGTTGATAAAGAGGTGGTAGAGATAAACTGTCAACAGTATTGTGTATTATACATTGTTATAACTACATTTTATAGGCAGGCTCCCCAGCCAAGCCTTAATTAATTAAGTCAAGTGACCCCGTTTTGAACCCGGCACCTAGGCCGTAGCCCTCTCTCGGATTCAAGGAGGTTTACCAGATGAGGAGACGGACAGGCTAGGCTCCGCCACGATTACAACTATAACGCCTTCATAACAGTCTACAGCTGTTTCCTTGCTACCATCGCTTCTCCAATGAACCCTATAACAAAACACTATACACAGCTTGGAAAGTAGATATGACCCGGCCCTGGAGGCTAGTCATCAGTGAAACTGGTCCATAAAATTTGAAGAGCTTGATCCAGGAGCTACGAATGCACCCCGGCAAACACAGCTAGATGCTCACAATTATGCGAGTCTCTGCCTGCCTGCCTGCCTGCCTGCCTGCCTGCCTGCCTGCCTGCCTGCCTGCCTGCCTGCCTACCTTCCTGCCTGTATGTCTATTTGTCTGTCTGTCTGTCTGTCTGTCTGTCTGTCTGCCTGCCTGCCTGCCTGCCTGCCTGCCTGCCTGCCTGCCTTCCTGCCTGCCTTCCTGCCTGCCTGCCTGTCTTCCTGCCTGCCTGCCTGTCTGTCTGTCTGTCTGTCTGTTTATTTGTCTGTCTGCCTGCCTGCCTGCCTGCCTGCCTGCCTGCCTGCCTGCCTGCCTGCCTGCCTGCCCTCCCCCTCTCTCTCTACTTCGCTCTCTTTAAAATCTTACACGACTCTAACCTTGCAATTTGCCATGACCAGAAGCAACTTGGTAATACCTTGAAAGCTGTTGTTGCAAATCAATCTTGATGTTAAAGTGGATAGACCCAGTCAAGTATACCCCTCTCCCTCCTCTTCCAACCTCCACATCCCCCCCTTCTCTCTAGACGCACCTCGATGACTAGTGTGTATTTTAATGCTTGTATGCACACACCAAGGTTCAAATAGTTTACTTTCACTTTCATAACAGGATATAATTACTTGACCTTACATGAAGTTCCTGGGAGAGAAAATCTAAGATGTTATGTATACAGTGGTGCATCTCTAGTGCAGACTGTGAGGACCCACAGCCTCGGAGAAAGAGGTAAAAAAAATCGGAGAATAATATTTGTATTTCTCGCTGAAGCCATTTGAATATTCCACTTTCCTTACTACCCCATCCTCATGTGTACACAAACTGGTATATTTTGCTACATAATGTGATGCACAAGACTTAAAAGATACCTTGATGGTGTAGAAATAGAACACATAATATATGACGTTTACGAGTTATATTACAAGTACCTACTGCTACGTACACACACACACACACACACACACACATATATATATATATATATATATATATATATATATATATATATATATATATATATATATATATAATATATATATATATATATATAATGTGTGCCTGCGGTCAGGTCCCAGACCAAGCCTGCCTGGACAGGGTATTACAGTGTTAGAGTATTCCGTCAGTAAGTAAACAAGACATCTTACTGTGAAGAGGGATCATCCACCAGGGACTGTACGAATTCACCATAAAGGCCCTGGTGGACGAAACGTCTTTTCAATAAAATGTCATAACCCGCAGTGTGTTTTATTCACTTTTGATATACCTTTGACGAGTTCCCAGAGTTATTCTACTTCCAGAGCCCGGCCATGGGCCAGGCTCGTCTCCCTGGACAGGTGAGATATCGACACGATACTAAAGATACAGAAATGCACTTATATGAACTCCTTTATTGAGGACGCTTCGCCTACACACTGAACTTTTATCACTCACAAACATATGATTGTGACTGGATAAAAGCCAGTGTGGGCGAAACGTTGTCAATAAAGGATTCCACATAACTCTCCCCCTCTCTGTTTTTACCGTCAAGTATACCTGTTGACAGTCTGATCAGTCAGGTTACTGATGCCAGCAATACACGGTCCAACTTTATTGATGCCAGCAACACACGGTCCAACTATACTGATGCCAGCAACACACGGTCCAACTCAACCAACAACTGGGTTCGGTTGGGTTAGCCTGGGTTACATAAACCTATAAAACCATCAACAAACTGAGCACACTGAAAACGACCGAGATGCCTCTGGCAGGGAGGCGGCCCAGTATAGCCTGGAAACGTACAAATCTGCATACGAGTATCACCTTTGGAAAGTAGTGGAGGAGAAAGAAGGGGAAAGGGGTAGGATACTGACCATCTGGACAGCGTGGTGGTCGAAGGGCAAAGAGGTGGGGGCATGATCCGGGTAGTGCCCCAGCACCCGGGCTTTGTAGCTCCTCTCCAGTGGTGGAACCACCACCACGTCCCCTGCAAAAAAAAAAAAAAACGTATTTGTGAGCACAATACCTTTGTTAACACAACACATATATTTGTAGACACAACACATTCGCAAATACACTTGTAAACACATTTGTAAATACTCTCCTGTAAACAGCACATTTGAAAAAATACACCTTTGTAAACATTTGTCAAATATGTCTTTATAAACACTTGCAAATACACCTTTGTAAACAACACATTTGTCAAATACGCCATTGTAAACAAATACATCTGTAAGTACACCTTTTTAAACAACACATCAGCAAATACGCTTCTGTAAATACACTTGTAAATAAACCTTTGTCAATAATACATTTGCCAATACACATTTGTAAACGTTTCTATAAGCACAACTTTTGTGTCAAAAATTTTTTAAACGCCTTTGTAAACAGCGTTTATATAAAAAAAAAACATTTTTTTTAATTAACACATTTGTAATTTTTTTTAAATATACCAACGTAAACACTTGTGCATAAGCGTCTTTGTGAATGCCCCACATTTAAAAAAAAAAAAAAAAAAAAAATCATTAGTAAATATACTCCTTTTGTTAATAAACACTTCCGTAAAAATGATATAAACACACCATGTTTTGTAAACACATCACTTTTGTAAACAACACATCTCCATGGGAGAGTGGAGAAGACTCCTTCCTCCGTAAGCTGTGAGTGTCGTAAGAGGCGACTAAAATACCGGGAGCAAGGGGTCAGTAACCTCTTTTAATGTATATATTACTAAATATAACAAGAAAAATCTTTGTTTTACGTTTTTTATCTCTTTCGGGTCACCCTCGGTGGGAGATAATAATAATTACAATAATAATAATTACAATAATAATAACTACAATATTAATAACTATAATAATATTAATAATTACAATAATAATAATAACAATAATAACTACAATATTAATAATAATTACAATAATAGCTCCGTGTAATTCCCACCTTTTCCCGTTTACCTGATTACAGTTAAAGTCCACAGTGATAATTATTTTGCCTTCGTTCTATTTTCTATGTGCTGCTTTTTCCAGTCTTCATCAGGGTACCTTACCTTTGATATACCTCTGATGAGTTCCGAGTTTTTTTTTTACTCCCAGAGCCCAGCCTTGGGTCAGGCTCGTCTGTGTGGTTCTCTTTATATTGGTGTGTTGTTGTTCTTGTGTAGTGTGGACGATCATAAAGTAGTATTATAACCGTGCTTCCTGATGTTAGTATTATCACTACTGCTGCTGCTGCTGCTGCTGTGGCGGAATCTCCAGTGTTATAACCTATTTGTAGCTACACCAACAGAGATAACCTGAGTATGTTTGTGTCCTGAGGCTCTGACGAACCTTAAGTGATATCTCCACGCTTGTTGCTACACCAGCACAGCACAGCACAGCACAGCAGAGATTTGCATACAAGTGTATGCTACACCAGCACAGCACAAAAGAGCTATGCGTACAAGTGTATTCACCTATATTTGGTTGCAAGGGTCATGTTACAGCTCCTGGCCCCGCCTCTTCGCTAGTCGCTACTAGGTCAGGCTCTCCCCGCTCCAAGAGCCTTACCATACCTCTTTTTAAAGCTATGTTTGGATCCTGCTTCCACTGCCTCACTCTCCAGTGTATGTATACTGTGTGCATGAGAGAGGGAGAGAGAGAGAGAGATAGTGAGAGGGTTTAACCTTGTCAAACCCTGTGTAAAAAATGAAAGACAGAGAGAAAGAGAGAGAGAGAGAGAGAGAGAGAGAGAGAGAGAGAGAGAGAGAGAGAGAGAGAGAGAGAGAGAGAGAGAGAGAGAGAGAGAGAGAGAGAGAGAGAGAGAGAGAGAGAGAGAGAGAGAGAGAGAGGGTGTTCGTTGACATACAAGGTTAGGTTAGGTATATTCCATAAATTCTCTTTCAGTAAAAACTTTCTAATTTCTGCGCACTATCTTTCCATATAGGCACTGTTTCACTAATTACGACATTTTCTGTGAAATCCCATCAACGAAAAAAAACACTCACCTGTTTCGTTGATACTTAATCTTCAACTTGTGGCCGGCCTTCAAACACATCTTACTGGTAATGCACAATATTACTTACATTTCTCGTGATAGACACTAATATTCACAGCGATTTGTTAATAGGCTTGTTGTTGAATACCTTACAAACTGACGTCAACCCGTTAATGTTGTGTATAGCACCTGTCTTGTTTCCTGACAAACCTTACCTAACCTACGACGCTCAGAACACGACACACCAGCGGTCCAAATAACTGAAAAATGGCACAGTGATACCGACAAGATGTGGAAAAAGACATGTACAGTTCAGGGCGTTTTTTAAAAGAAAGGTTTCAGCACGAGTGTCTTCTTGACTTGATTCCCACGATGTTTGGTGAACATTCTGAAGTTCTCTCTGAGTTTCCATCGCCGGAGTGCTTTATCCTCCTGTTGGTTGTAGTTAGTGGAGCACATTACTCGCGTCACTCACACCAGCGTCATGCACAGCACGCTGGTGTGAGTGACGCGTGTAACGGGCGCCATGAAATCGATACGACAATGGGACTGGGAGTCATAGCATCGGGAATATAGCAGCTGTAGTAGTAGAAGTTAGGACGGCTGAAGAATATTTTCAACTGGGAAGTAGATAGTTCAGCACTCTTTGCAATAAGACCTGTGCTCTCTTGCACAGAGTTGATGACGGGAGAGATATCACAGCTGAAACAGATACAGGAATCATTTCCCGCCCACATGGAGCCAATAAAGCATTTAAACTACAGGGAACGCCTCAATGTTTTGAATATGTACTCGCTGCAACGGAGGAGAGATAATAATATATACGTGGAGGTTACTTCAGAGTCTAGTTACAAACTTCCACACTACCGTAACAACATATAGGAGTGAAAGATATAAGAGTAAATGTAAAAATAAACACAGTGAAAAGCATGAGTGCCGTGGGCACAATGAGAGAACACTGCATCAACATCCGTGGGTCCAGCTTATTCAACACTTTTCCAGAAGATATTAGATATGCTACCAGAAAACGTGTACAAGAGAAAATTAAATAAATATCCCGGCCAAGTGTCAGATCAACTAGGCTGTGTTGGATATGTGGGCCACCATGCAGCCAACAGCAACAGTCTCGCTGACCAGACAAGCCTGGCCCAAGGCCGGGCTATGGAGCAGGAAAACTCTGGAAACTGGTTACAGATATAAACGAGAGAATGACGAGCTCCCAACACTCATGTGCTGACCTAGTTACCACGACCTTCACAATACTCCCACGAGCGAGAGGTACCGATGAGAGAAGAGATGGAGAGTATAGGTGAAGCAGGGGTGAGTGTGGGAGGCAGGGATGGATGGTGGGAGGCAGGGATGGATGGTGGGAGGCAGGGATGGATGGTGGGAGGCAGGGATGGATGGTGGGAGGCAGGGATGGATGGTGGGAGGCAGGGATGGATGGTGGGAGGCAGGGATGGATGGTGGGAGGCAGGGATGGATGGTGGGAGGCAGGGATGGATGGTGGGAGGCAGGGGTGAGTGTGGGAGGCAGGGATGGATGGTGGGAGGCAGGGATGGATGGTGGAAGGCAGGGATGGATGGTGGAAGGCAGGGATGGATGGTGGGAGACAGGGATGGATGGTGGGAGGCAGGGATGGATGGTGGAAGGCAGGGATGGATGGTGGGAGACAGGGATGGATGGTGGGAGGCAGGGATGGATGGTGGAAGGCAGGGATGGATGGTGGGAGGCAGGGATGGATGGTGGAAGGCAGGGATGGATGGTGGGAGACAGGGATGGATGGTGGGAGACAGGGATGGATGGTGGGAGGTAGGGATGGATGGTGGGAGGCAGGGATGGATGGTGGGAGGCAGGGATGGATAGTGGGAGACAGGGATGGATGGTGGGAGGCAGGGATGGATGGTGGGAGACAGGGATGGATGGATGGTAGGAGGTAGGGATGGATGGTGGGAGGCCGGGATGGATGGTGGGAGGCAGGGATGGATGGTGGGAGGCAGGGATGGATGGTGGGAGGCAGGGATGGATGGTGGGAGACAGGGATGGATGGTGGGAGGCAGGGATGGATGGTGGGAGGCAGGGATGGATGGTGGGAAGCAGGGATGGATGGTGGGAGGCAGGGATGGATGGTAGGAGACAGGGATGGATGGTAGGAGGTAGGGATGGATGGTGGGAGACAGGGATGGATGGTAGGAGGCAGGGATGGATGGTGGGAGACAGGGATGGTGGGAGACAGGGATGGATGGTGGGAGGCGGGGATGGATGGTGGGAGGCAGGGATGGATGGTGGGAGACAGAGATGGATGGTAGGAGGCAGGGATGAATGGTAGGAGACAGGGATGGATGGTGGGAGGCAGGGATGGATGGTGGGAGGCAGGGATGGATGGTGGGAGGCAGGGATGGATGGTGGAAGGCAGGGATGGATGGTGGGAGACAGGGATGGATGGTGGGAGGCAGGGATGGATGGTGGGAGGCAGGGATGGATGGTGGGAGGCAGGGACGGTTGGTGGGAGGCAGGGACGGATGGTGGGAGGCAGGGATGGATGGTGGGAGACAGGGATGGATGGTGGAAGGCAGGGATGGATGGTGGGAGACAGGGATGGATGGTGGGAGGCAGGGATGGATTGGTGGGGAGGGACAGGGATGGATGGTGGGAGACAGGGATGGATGGTGGGAGGACAGGGATGGATGGTGGGGACAGGAGGGGATGGATGGTGGGAGACAGGGATGGATGGTGGGAGGCAGGAGATGGATGGTGGGAGACAGGGATGGATGGTGGGAGGCAGGGATGGATGGTGGAGACAGGGATGGATGGTGGAGGCAGGGATGGATGGTGGAAGGCAGGGATGTGGGACAGGATGGAGGTGGAGCGGGGGGTGGAGGCAGGGATGGATGGTGGAAGGCAGGGATGGATGGTGGGAGGACAGGGATGGATGGTGGAGGCAGGGATGGATGGTGGGAGGCAGGGATGGATGGTGGAAGGCAGGGATGGATGGTGGGAGGCAGGGATGGA